ACTCGCGGCCTCTAGACACGGGGATCCGATCCCACACTGACAACAAAACCACAGCTTTAACCCCTTATGTGAACGCATCCGATGACTACTATATGCATCTTCCCTCCCGCAATATGCAGCGTGTCCCCTTCCGGAAGCCCACAAATCACCCCATCAATGTTAGTTGGGACGAAACACGGGCGAGCAGACCAGGCGGCACGAGCGGCGATGGTAGCGGAGCTGAAACATTTGAGACATCTGCGCCCACCCTTGTCAAGCGAATGGGCAGTCGTGAAAGTACACAGCCGAAGGAGCGGGAGGGGGCTGAGGGCGCTCACGTGTTTCCTTCCGAGCATCACCAGCCAACTCTCTTTCACACTCCAACACATCGATCGTAGCCCGAAGGAGCCCTGTGTTCGACCTCTCGAGAAGCATGACGCTCGATCTCGGGAACTCGGTGCCTATCGGCGGCAGCCCTGGACATAAGATCGGTCACCGTACTGCCCTGCACCATCCACGGCGGCGCAGTACAAGCAGCCAGCTCCTTCTCGCCGAAATGCGAGTTGATGAGTGAGGAGTGAGAAGGAGGAAGCGGAGGAGGAGAAGGAGGGGGGGAGGAGGAGGAGGAGGAGGAGGAGGAGAGCGGAGAGGAGGAGGAGGAGAGGAGTAGAGGAGGAGGAGGAGGAGGAGGGAGGGGGGAGGGAAGAGGAGAGGAGAAGAAGAGGAGGAGGAGGAGGAGAGGGAGGAGGAGGAGGAGGGAGGAGGGGGAAGGAGAGGAGGAGAGATAGAAGGAGGAGGGTGAGGGTGAGGGTGAGGAGGAGGAGGAGGAGGAGGAGGAGGAGGAGGAGGAGGGCGGGGGAGACGGAGGCGGAGGAGGAGGAGGGCGGAGGCTGGGTGCGCGTCCCGCACGTTGCGATTGCAATCGGCTCTGTGTGAGCTATGCATCCAGGCAGCTCGAGCTGAAGGTCCGGCAGAGTTCGGTCAAGAGTTGGAGTCCCAGGACGGCTCGATCCACAGCGCTATAGAACGCAACGCAGTTCATCGTGGCGCGACGCATCTTCACTCAGTACAGCACGGCGCAGCCCCTGCTACCGAGCGCGTTCCACTACTCGCAGCGTGCCTACTCGCAAACGCCTGAAACACACATGTCAGCTTCGGTGTAAGTTCTCGTAGATCTTCCGCGGCGGATCCAGGTCGTTTGCGATATGCTACTTTGCGAGAAGTGGAACGCGCTTGTCTACCGTGGCACGGTGCGTCACGATCGATAACGTCAGCATTGCAACTCCTTGTCGCCCAGTCAGGTGTTGTGAAAGCATTTCCATGAGTCACGTTTCTACATTTCTTTGCGGGTTCGTGGGTCGATCGTATTGGAGCCGCGTGGGGCTTGGTGGCGTCTTGTATGGCTCTTGGGGCCTCTTAGGGGGGTCTTGGGGGCATCTGGGAACCTCTCGGAGGCATTTGCAGTCTCGGAGGCCATCGTTGGGGGACGGGTCCGATACCGATGCGTGAACTCGGATTCCTTCTCTTGGGGCCTCTTGGGGGCCCCTGGAGCCCTCTTGGGAGGGCCTCGCGTGCCGTTCTGGGGGCCTTGGCGGCCGTTTCGAGGCCGTCCTGGGAGCCTCTCGGGCCGTCCTGGGCCGCTCTTGAGGCCTCTTGGAGAGGCGGTGATGTAACCAACGGAGCATCGATAGGAGTCAGCCTCAAAGGGGGCTCTCTTGGGGCTGCCAGGGGCTATCTTGAGGCCTTCATGGCGACGGGCGTCGGGCCATCGCGGGGCCCTCCACCCCTTCCTCCTGGCTGTTGGGCCCCCCCAGGGGCCCTCCCAGGGGGCGACCTTGGGGGCCAGAAGCTCCGGCCCCTGGAGTTCTGAGGCATCCGTGGCGGGGCCTCCGCGGGGTATTGTTCGTCTGTGGATCCCCCTGAGGTCGCCCCGCGCGCGCGAAGAAGAAATACAGTCGACCCGCACAGTAAGGATGGGCAATGTTCCCAAGGGTACCCTTGCATCCTTGCCTCGTCGGTCCATCCTTGGCCACTTTCGTTGGCCGCGCCCCGCTCGAGAAGCTTCGACATAGGCGTCCAAGTCCCTTGCATCCTTATCGCGCATCCTTACGACATGGCCCGACGGTGCGTAGCACCCCGCAGTTGCGGATCAGAGTGAGTGGGCGGCGGGGTCGTAAGCATTCTGAGAGGTATTGAAGAAGCTCGCCGCAGGCGCCGATTTTTCCCAAGTTCTACAACGGGCCTGCCGCAAGCGCCGCTTTACCCGTCAAAGCAAGTGGGTGTGTCGCGGGTGGGTCGCGGGATGTGCCGCGGGCTTGGGTCGCGGGGTGGGTTGCGGGCGGGTCATGGGCCGTGGGCAAGGGTGACGACGACAACGCAACAACAATAACAGCAACAACAGCAGCAGCAACATCAACAACACCCACAATCATTTGACCCGAATGCGTTATGAGTCAATACGAGCATGTGTCCATCGTGACATTTCCCCCTATCATGTGGGATTTCTCTTCTGGCATAGGGGGGTCTGATAATCCCGTGGCCAGATCTCCCGCCCAAGGGGGTCGTGCCAACACTTCTGAGAAACGTCAACATCGGCGGCTCGGATGGCACAGCGCCTCGCAATAACGTTGCCCATGTGCTGCTTCTCGGCGAGGGAGGAGGAGGAGGAGGAACAGGGGGGAGGGAGGAGGGAGGAGGCACGAAGACTGAGTACGAGGAGAAGGACGAGGAGAAGGACGAGGATGATGATGATGATGCTGATGATGACGATGATGATGACGATGCTGCTGATGATGATGATGGTGGTGATGAAGAGGAGGAGGAGGAGGAGGAGGAGGAGGAGGAGGAGGAGGAGAGGAGGGGCCGGGCATGAAAAGGGGGAAGGAGAAAAGGAGGGGGGAGGAGGGAGTCGGAGGAGGAAGGACGAGCGAGGACGGACAGGAAGAAGGAAGAGGAGGGGGAGGGGAGGGAAAAGGAGGGGGAGGATGAGGTGGTTGAGGGGGAGATATGATGATCTAACCAGCAAGGGCCCCATACGAGGCGTGACCATCTAATCGGGGAGGCATGGCCATCTAAGCATGGCCTGGAAAGCCCCCCCAGAGGCCGAGGACCTCCAAGCACGTCCGTTTACGATGGGAATTTTAACATCTGCGGCCTGGATGGCTCAGCGCCTTCGCAATCGCGTTATTTATGCCCTACTTCTCGGACGAAACGGAGGAGAACTGGGGAGGATGAGGAGGAGGATGACGAGCAGCATGAGGGGACGAGGAACTGAGGAGGCAAGATGACGGGACACGAGGAGGAGGCGGAGGAAGAGGAGGAGGAGGATGAGGAGGACAACGAGGAGGAAGAGGAGGAGGATGACAACGAAGAGGAGGACGAGGAGGGGGAGGAGGGGGAGGCGGAGGAAGAGGAGGAGGAGGAGGAGGAGGAGGAGGAGGAGGAGGAGGGAAACCGAGGATGAGGAAGGGAAGGGGGAGGAGGAGGAGGAGGGAGGGGGTGGGAGGAGGGAGAACGAGAGGAAGATTATGCTGAGGAGGAGGAGGAGGAGGAGGAGGAAAAGGAGGAGGAGGAGGAGGAGGAGGAGGAGGAGGAGGAGAAGAAACACACGACCAGGAGAAAAACAACGTCGTGGGGATTATTTTGGATATCCTTTAGGCCGTCAGGGCGCCCTTGGGCCGTCTTGGGGCTTTCTTGAGCCGTCCAAGGGCCTTCTTGTTGCGCTCTTGGTCGTTTATGGGCGCCTCCTCGGGGCGCTTGCGGCGCCTTCGGCTGTGTCTGGACAGGTCTCGGGTCCAGCGTTCTCTATCACATGTTTTACCCTCGGTCTCGACTTGACGTGGCCCGGGGGAATTATTCTGCGATAAATGACAAGGACAAATCGTTGGCGGATTTTTGTTGCTTGTCTTGCGTCATAGTTTGAGGATGTCTCGAGCGATACGATCGTTTTGCAGATTTGTTGGAGGACCAAGCGAAACGATTGGTTTCTAGTGTCCAGGTCGCTCAGGCAGATGTCTGGCATGAGGATCCGTTGAGTCTGTCTCGAGCGATACGCTTATTTTCACGTGTCCAGGTTGCCCGGGCGGATGTCTAACATGAAGATGTGTTGAGGATGGGTAACATGGGTAGAGGATGGTTGTTTCCACGTGCCCACGTCGCCCAGGCGGATGTCTAACATGAGGATGGGTAGAGGATGTCTCGGGCGAGACGCTTGTTTTCGCGTGCCCAGGTCGCCCAGGCGGATGTCTAGCAGGAGGAAGCGTTGACCATGCCTCGAGCGAAAGGATTGTTTTGAATGCCGAGGTCGCCCAGTCGGATGTATAGCATGAAGATGTGTTGAGAATGTCTCGGGCGGAGCGGCTGTTTTCACGTGCCCAGGTCGCCCAAACGGTTGTCTAACCATGATTATGTGAGGATGTCTCGAGCGAGACGCTTGTATTCATGTGTACAAATCGCCCACGGGGATGTCTAGCATCAGGGTTGCTGGAGGATGTCTCGAGCGAAACGCCTGTCGCAGTAGAGTGCGTCAAATCCTAAGCCAACCCGTCCGTGGGGCGTCCCCTGGCGCGCTGGCGCGTCCCCTGTGAGGCCGTTTCGTGCGAGCGATTTCACGCGCGCGCGCGTTACAGAGCGTGGCCCGCTGTTGGCCCACTTGCCGCGGTGTTCGCGCGAAGTGACGTTGGATAATCGTTTATACGGCGCTTCTATTTCGACGTTTTGGCGTGAGTTGCTCTGGCACGTTTTCCCGTACGCCCCTCGGCGAGGCACATTCCCTGGCTTGTCCTCTGTCGCGTTTCGTGGCTCGTCCCAAAGCGTTGCCCATGCCGTGACGCGCCCCGTACCGCGTCCCCTGGCATGACGTCCATCGGCCCACCCCATGGCCCGCCCCATGGCACGCGCCTTGGCACGTCCCGTGGCAGGTCCCCGACACGTCTAGGAGCACGTCCCTGACGACGGCGGCGGCGACAACTGCCACGACGACGACCACGTCGACGACGGAGACGGCGACGGCGACCACGCCCACGACGGCGACCACGGCGACCACGTCGACGACGCCGGCGGAGGCCGCGACGACGTCGACCGCGACGACGACGCGAAGCCCTCGCTGCGAGCGGCGCCGATCGCGCACCCGCGCTCCGCAGACGAACCACCGCTCCCCCCGCCGGCGCCGGAGCCCGCGCCCGCACCTCGCGCCGCCGAGCGGCAGGAGGAGTCGTCGCGGGCCCAGCCGCGGCGCGCCGCCGACCTTATATGGGAGGGAGGGGAAGGGAGGGAGGGGCGGAGGAGGGTGGCGGAGGAGGAGCAGGCGGAGGAGGAGCAGGCGGAGGAGGAGCAGGCGGAGGAGGAGGAGGCGGAGGAGGAGGAGGAGGAGGAGGAGGAGGAGGAGGAGGAGGAGGAGGAGGAGGAGAGTAGAGGAGGAGGAGGAGGAGGAGGGGGGGGAGGCCGAGGAGGAGGAGGTGGAACCTATGGGAGGGGAGTGCGTCAGGGAGCGGCGGGGGAGGGCCTGTCGGAGCTGCCCTCGCGCGGCCGCCTCCCGGAAGGCGCAGGCCTCCCCCGTCGCCCGGCGGATATCTCGCCTTCGGGTGACGTTCGCCCGCCTCGGCGGGCGAGGCTCCCCGAACGAAGGCAACCCTGCAATCCTTTCGGGGGTGGACAGGAGGAGGAGCAGGAGGAGCAGGAGGAGGGGGAGGAGGGAGGGAGGGAGGATAGGAAGGAGGATAGGAGGGAGGATAGGAGGGAGGATAGGAGGGAGGATGGGAGGGAGGATAGGAGGAAGGAGGGTTGCTGCAGTCGGGGGTGGACAGACCTCCTACCCTGACACGTCGATTAAGGAATTGGCCGTTGTCGGTTCGACGAGAGGGCGTCGCGGCCGTCATTTGTTGCGGGTCCAGGTGCGTCGGTTGCGGTCCCAGGCCGTTTTCGCTAAAGGGAGGTCTACTAAAGGCAGGTTTGTCCACCGCCGAACCTTACAAAAAAGCGAAAGCCATAGACAATCAGAGACAACTGTTCGAAGCCTTTCTGGGAACGTGGGGAAACCAGGGGAAACCATGGAAACGTGTTCGCGTTATCATTCTACCTTCCATGCCAACAGGGCGGCTTCCTACTCTTAAGCACGTAGGAACCGCATGCTTCAAAATCCAATCCGTCACCGTTAAGGCTTCACTCTGGAAGGCCAACATGGCGCTGTTTAGTATATAAAAAATTGAAATAATCCTATGCCAACTTTAAATCCAATCCAATCGGTCAGAGTGTAGGGTCCCCTTAGGTGCCAGGCCAACATGGCGACTTTCATTTGAGAGCGTTGAAAGCGCATGTGAGCTTCCAAATCCAATCGGTCATCGTAATGGGTTCATTGTAGATTCCAGGCCAACATGGCAACTTTTCCATTGAGGACACTATTAACCTCGCCACGCGCGCGTCCGCCCGCGTGACGAGTTCTGTAGTGGCCACAATGGGAAGGAGGCGCTGAGCTGCGACGGGCGCAGAAGAACCCTGCGACGATTGACGACGACGACGGCGACGGCGACGACGACGGCGACGACGACGGCGACGGCGAAGACGACGACGACGACGACGACGACGATGGCGTCGTCCACACGCAGAAGGGTCGGCGCATGTTGTTCTTCGTCGAGTCTACACCAGATACGTAGGAAAGCTCTGCAGATCTGCGGAGCATTTCCCGCACTTCTGGCGTAGATCCGACGAGGCCAAAATTATCCCAGTGCGACCCTACCTAGGAGTTGGAGCCCCTAGGAAAGCAGCATTAGTAGTAACAGTAAAGCTAAGCTAAAGCTAAGCTAAGTCTAAGCTAAAGCTAAGCTAAAGCTAAGCTAAAGCTAAGCTAAAGCTAAGCTAAAGCTAAGCTAAAGCTAAGCTAAAGCTAAGCTAAAGCTAAAGCTAAAGCTAAGCTAAAGCTAAACTAAGGCTAAGCTAACACTAAGCTAAAGCTAAGCTAAATCTAAACTGAAACTAAGCTAAGGCTAAGCTAACGCTAAGCTACAGCTAAGCTAAAGCTAAGATACATCTAAAGCTAAAGCTAAGCTAAAGCTAAGCTAAAGCTAAGCTGAAGCTAAGCTAAAGCTACGCTGAAGCTAAGCTAAAGCTAAAGCTAAGGCTCAGCTGAAGCTAAGCTAAAGCTAAACTAACGCTAAGCTGAAGCTAAGCTAAAGCTAAGCTGAAGCTAAGCTAAAGCTAAGCTAACGCTAAGCTAAAGCTAAGCTGAAGCTAAGCCAAATCTAAGCTAACGTTAAGCTAAAGCTAAGCTAACACTAAGCTACAGCTAAGCTAACACTAAGCTGAAGCTAAGCTAAAGCTAAGCTAAAGCTAAGCGAACGCTAAGCTAACACTAAGCTGAAGTTAAGCTAAAGCTAAGCTAAAGCTAAGCTAAAGCTAAGCTAAGGATGAGCTAACACTAAGCTAAGCTAAGCTACAGCTAAGCTAAAGCTAAGCTAAAGCTAAGCTACAGCTAAGCTAATGCTAAGCTGAAGCTAAGCTAACACTAAGCTAAATCTGAGCTAACACTAAGCTGAAGCTAAGCTAAAGCTAAGATAAAGCTAAGCTAAAGCTAAGCTAACGCTAAGCTGAAGCTAAGCTAAAGCTAAGCTAAAGCTAAGCTAAAGCTAAGCTAAAGCTAAGCTAACACTAAGCTGAAGCTAAGCTAAAGGTAAGCTAAAACTACAGCTAAAGCTAAAGCTAAAGCTAAAGCTAAGCTAAAGCTAAAGCTAAGGCTAAAGCTCCCAGGGAACTGGGGGAACCGCGGGGCGGGGACTGGGGGAACCGCCCGGGGCGCTTTCCACTGCCCGGCCCCTTTAAGCTAGAGAGTAAGAACCCTTATAGGCAGAGCCTAGGTAGGGAACAATTCAGGAGGGAAAAAAACACACAGACACAATTCATCGCCGATTCCCTGGAAAATATGGGAAGATATGGGAAGTGGGGGGAGACAAAACACCCGAAAATATAGGAAAACATGGGGAATCTGTTTATTTGTGTGTGTTTATTTGCGTGTCCTGGGGCCCCTTCAACAATTCTGGGGCACATGAATTCTGTAGCCGACGAGCTCCTACTCGAAGGGGGGGAGACAGATCGGCCCCGAATCGCCATGCATCGCCGACGGCTGCTCCGGTGCCCCCTTCTGCCGAGGACCGCGCGGTTTGGCTGTCGGGGGCCGACTGCGGATCCACCAGCGACGTCTCGTGGGTTCTAGGCTGAAGTCCGGCGCGTCCCTCTACAGGAGGAATGTTCAAAAATGGTTAAAACACATCCGTCTGGGGATTTTTTGTTGTTTGTTTCCATTTTTTATTTTTGTTGCGTATTCTTTGTTTTTCGTTGAAGATCGGCCTGTAGGGGGACATGCCCAACCCAGTTCTAGGCCGGCACCTCAGACGAGGGAACAAATGTACACATACTGCTACCTTTTTTTTCGGCTTCCTGAGAGGCCCTCGTCGCCACCGCAGGGTTCACCTCGACATGTTGGTCAGAATGCGCCCCGGGAGAGATCCGGGGAGTAGCGATATTGGTACCTGTTGTGGACGGCCAGGAGGGGGGTGATGACTCGGGTGTGTGGATATCATGGCGTGGGCCATGATATTTCCGTGGATTTCACTGCGCCTCTTCGTATTTGATTCCGTTCCTGCTCCCTCCCCCCCGTGGCCGCGCACGTGCAGCCGACCATGATTTGTGCCCCCCCCTCTTGGACGCCCCCTTCTTGGCCGCCCCCGAACCTTTTGGCATGCCCAGTGCCTTCGCCAGTGCCCCCGGAGGCCGTCCTCGGCAGCGTGCCGCCGACCTCTTCATGGTGCGCTCGGGCGCCACCGCCGCAGGGGGCTTCTCGGCCCCAGGCGATGGCGAGCTGCGCTCCGTGGTCGGGATCCGGGTGAGGGAGCTGTCGGGGGCCCAAAAATATTCACCACCACCACCTCCCTCCCCCCCCCGCTCTCGCTGGAAAGAGGACAGAGGAGGAATCGACGTGGTGGTGGTGTATATTCTTTGGGCCCCCAAGCTGGTTGCTCCAGGCCTCCCAGAGGGGCGTCGGAGTAGGTGGGGTTGGAGGATCGCGCCGCATCGCCGACGCATCGGCGAGGCGGCTCGACGCGGAGCCCAGTTTTCTCGACGCGGACAGCGCCGATGCACCGCCGACCTCGCCGAAGCATCGCCGATGCATCGCCGATGCATCGCCGATGCGTCGTCGATGCATCGCCGATGTATCGGCGATGCGGCGCGATCCTCCGACCCCATCTACTCCGACCCCTTTCTAGGAGGCCTCTATGATCGTGACCTCGGAGGGTGGCGTCAACGCTGAGGCCGTCGCGGGGTGCGCGCCGTGGTCGGGATCTCTGAGCGGGGGAGCTGGCTGCGCGTGGCGCTCGCGCTGCGGATGGTGACCCCGCGGAGGTTGGCGTCGACGCGGAGGCCGTCGCGCAGTGCGCTGACGGGGCGGTTGCACTGCCCTCCGTTGGGGCCGTCGGATTTGCTCTCAGCGGGCAGGGGGAACGGGGCGTGGAGCCCAAACAACTCGTTGTCCTTCTTCCGTTGTTCCTTGTTGGCGTCACCTGCTCTTTCCCCGCTCCCTTTCCTTGTCTTGTCCTTTTCCTCACCCCTCTTCCCCGTCGTCATGATCATCCCTCTTCCCTCTTGACCTCCCTCCTCTGTCTTCCTCCTGCTCCTGATTCTTCATCCCCTCCCTCTGATGATCATCCACTTCTTCCTCACATTGCTTTTCCTCGTCATCGGAGCGCCTGGCCGAACGGGTTCCCCCCCCCCGGCCGAGGCCGTGGCAGCAGTTTTTTTGCAGAACCTACAACCAGCACTACTACCACAACAGGCCGCGCGCGGCGCGTTCCGCCGCCCGCTCGGGTGGGCGGGAGGGACGAGGAGGGACGAGGCGGGCCCAGGATCAGGGACAATGCTACAGTGCCGTTTTTAATACATGCTCCGCGTGCGGATCATGTATAAAAAATGCAGGGATTCAGTTTTAATAACAACGATGAGTTTGTGTATACATCTATTCATAAATAACCATGGATTCAAATCGTATATGTTTAAACATCCTATGTATTAAAAACTGCCCTGTAGGGGGGGGGGCAAGCTGAGGGGGGGAACCATCTAGCCCAACTCGCCCACGTATCGCCGATGGTGGCCCGGTAAAGGAGCCCACCCCGACCAGGACCGTGCGAGTTTGCCATCGGGGGCCTAGGGGCCTCTCGCCGAGCCCTCGGCGATGTGCTGGCGCCTAAGACTGCCCTTCGGCGGGGGAGGAAGACCGAGCAGCAACTGCCTAACCATGCGCTTTCGGATCTGCGTGGATGTCTTGGAAAGGCGCTGCGCCTCCCTGACAGCGCCTCTGGCGCCGCCCCTGGCGCGCTCCGCGCGCGAGGGAGGGGGAGAAAACATGAGATGGGGAAAGGAAAAGGGGGGGAGGAAGGGGCCCAGGACAGGGCATCGGACAATTCGAAGCATCGTGCGCGGAGATATATCACAATTGCTTTCGGCTTCCAGGTTCAGGGATTATCGGAAAGCAGCTCAGAATGAGAAGCCAGTTTCAGGGGAAGAGGCCGACGTGTCCAGGGGCCCGCCACCAGATCGGGCAGAAAATGCAGCGGACGACGGTAGGGGAAGGAGTAGTGTTTGAGTGCGGATGGGGGTGCTGCGAATGATAATGACGATACATAATGAAGACGACGAGGATGATGATGATGATGGGGATGCTGATGATGTTGATGATGATGATGCTGACGCTGACGCTGACGCTGGCGCTGACGCTGACGGCGATGATGATGGTGGTGATGATGATGATGATGATGATGATGATGATGATGGTGATGGTGGTGATGATGGTGATGGTGATGGTGGTGGCGATACTTGTGATGATGATGATGCTGATGACGATGCTGATGGCGATGCTGATGCTGATGACGATGCTGTTGATTATGCTGATGCTGGTGCTGACGACGACGAGGATGGTGATGATGATGATGCTGATGCTGATGCCGATGAGGATGCTGATATGGATGATGATTATGATGCTGATGTTGCTGCTGATGCTGCTGATGATGATGATGATGATGATGATGATGGAGATTCTGATGGTGCTGTTGATGGAGATTGCGATGGTGGTGGTGACGGTGATGATGGTGATGGTACTTGTGTTTATGATGTCAATGGCGATGGTGATTGTGATGACGCCGACGGCGACGATGATGATTGCGACGACGAGGATGATGATGCTGCTGATGATGATGATGTTGTTGATTATGATTATGCAGATGGCGATGACGACGGTGACGACGATGGGGGTGATGATGTCGCCGATACTACTGATGCTGATGATGATGGTGGCGGTGATGATGATGACGATGACGACGATGCTGATGCTGGTCATGCTGATGATGATGAAGATTGTCGTGGTCATATGGTCATGCTGATGGTGATGCTGATGACGACGATGGGGATTATGGTAATACCGATGATGACGACGCGTACAGCGATGACGCTGATGATGATGATGATGATGATGATGATGATGAGGATGCTGATGACGATGATGATGCTGCTCACGACGGTGATGCAGGTGATGATGATAATGCTGATGAGGACGATGATGGTGATGATTAGGTCCATGCTTGTGATGATAATGCCGACGACGACGACTAGGAGGAGGAGGCGCTGGAGGAGGAGGAGGAGGAGGATGAGGACGACGACGACGAAGACGATGACGATGAAGATGGCGATGATGATGGTGATGATGATGAGGATTACGATGATGACGATGACGATGACGACGACGATGACGATGACGACAACGATAATGATGATTATCTTGATGATCATGCTGATGATGATGATGATGGCGATGATGATGATGATGATGATGATGGTGGTGGTGGTCATGATCATGATGGTGATTTTGATGTGTGCTGGTGATACTGATGACGATGACAATGAGGATGATCCTGACCATGATGATGATGATGATGATGATGATGATGATGATGGTGATGATGTTGATGCCTTTGCTGATGCTGATGATGATGATGATGATGATGATGCTGATGATGAGCATGATCATAACGATTATGATGATAACGGTACTGCTGATGATACTGATGATGATGACGATGCTGATACTGGTGATGATGATGATGATGATGATGATGATGATGATGACGATGATGATGATGATGATGATGATGATGATGATGATGATGATGATGATGATGATGATGATGATGATGATTCTGATACTGGTACTGATACGGATGATGCTGCTGATGATGATGATGCTGATCATGATGAGGATCATGTCGGCGACGATGATGGTGATTCAGATGCTGATGCTGCTGATACTGCTGATTGTTATCATAGTGTTGATTGGCAGGGGGAGACTGCTGCTGCTGATGATGAGGAGGAGGACATGCTCGAGGTCGATTGGCCCGTGGAAGCCAATGCCCAAGGGGTGACCACGCATCAAGCACTCGTTACTCCAGATTTCGTAATAAAAGGGAGGGGGTCTCAACCCTCCCAGACGAGAAGTTTTAGACCCCCCCCCCGTGGGAGAACCCTCCAAAACATCGTCCCCAGACCCCCCCAGGCCCTCCAAGATAGCCTGGAAGAGACCCCCCCCGAAATGAGACTCCCCTCCCTTTATTACGAAATCTGGAGTACCTCCCTGAAGCACGGTGGTTGACAAGCCCCACCGTGAGACTGAGGGGAAGCCCCCAACATCGTCGGTGTTCCGACGCATGCGCGCAATCGGACCAGCGGAATTCAGATCTAAAGGAAGCAAGACGGAGCAGATGGAGGAGAAGGAGGAGGAGGAGGATGAAAAGGTAGATTCGCATGGAGGAGAAGCAGGAGGAGGAGAAGGAGAAGCAGGAGGAGGAGGAGGAGGAGGATCAGCAGGAGCCGGCAACGCCCGCAGGACGACGGGCGAGACCACCTGGACGCTGCCGGACGCACTAGCGCCGACCCAGGCCGAGGCCGCGCAGCAGGCGCGCCGCCGCCGCCCGCGGACGGCCCTCGCCGAAGGCCTCCCAGCGGCCCCTCGGCGGCCCCATCGGCGGCCCCACGAGCGTCGTGGGCCCATCAGGCGGCCTCTCGGCGGCCCTCGGGGCGTCGTGGGCCCCTCGGCGGCCCCTCGGCGGCCTCTCGGCGGCCCCTCGGCGGCCCCTGGGCGGCCCTCGGTGGCCCTCAGAGGGTGGGTCAGGAGGAGGAGGAGGAGGAGGAGGAGGAGGAGGAGGAGGAGGAGGAGGAGGAGGAGAGGAGGAGGAGGAGGTAGGAGGAGGAGGAGGGAGGAGGAGGAGAGGGAGGAGGGAGGGAGAGGAGGGAGGGGGGAGGAGGGGGGGAGGGAGGAGGGAGGGAGGGAGGGAGGGAGGGAGGAGGAGGAAGGCACCGACCGATGCCGCTGCCCCTGCCTCGCTTTTCGCCTGCTCGGGCCTCCTCGGAGGCGCTCGTCGCCGGGGCTGGCTTTGCTCCGAAAAATCCTGGTCAGAGCCCACCGCCCGAGAGGTCCGTGGAGTAGCGGTATTGGTACCTTTTGGTCCCCCCACGTCGCTGCCGCCGTGGTCGTCGTCGTCGTCGTCGTCGTCGTCGTCGTCGTCGTCGTCGTCGTCGTCGTCGTCGTCACGTCGTCGTCACGCGTCAACGTCAACGTCAACGTCGTCGTCGTCGTCGTCGTCGCCTCCGTCCTCCGTTGCCGCTGCCGTCGCTGTCGCCATCGTCGTCGTCCGTCGCCGTTCTTCGTCCGCAGCCGCCCGCCGCCGGCCGCCCTTCCCCCGCCGCCGCCGCGGCTGCCGCGGCCGCCGCCGCCTCCGCCGCCGCCGCCGGCGTCGTCCGTCGTCCATCGTCGTCCTCGTCGCCGTCGTCGTCGTCGTCGTCGTCGTCGTCGTCGTCGTCGTCGTCGTCGTCGTCGTCGTCGTCGTCGTCCGTCGTCCGTCGCCCGTCGTCCGTGGCCCGTCGTCCGTCGTCCGTCGTCTATCGTCTGTCGGCCTTCGTCTGTCGTCCGTTGGGCCTCGTCGTCGTCGTCTTCTGCGGGTCGAGGGTCGAGCATCGAGGTCTTCGACTTTGGATGTTTACTCCCTCCTTCGTGTCTCCTCTCTCCCTCCCTCCCTCCTCCTGCGTCCTCCCTCCCTCCTCCCCCTCCCTCCTTCCTCCCTCCCTCCTCCTTCGTCCTCCTCCCGTCCTCCTCCCTCCCTCCTCCCTTTCGTCCTCCCTCCCTCCCTCGCGCACCCTCCCTCCCTCCCCTCCCTCCCTCGCTCACCTCCTCGCTCCCTCGCCTCTCCCTCCCCGCCTCCCTCGCCCTCCCTCCCTGCCGCCTTCCTCCCTCCCCCCTGCCCTCCCGCCCCCTGCCCTCCCTACCCTGCCCCCCCTCTTCCTCCGCACTCCCCTCCCCCCCGCCCTGCTTCCCCGCCCTCCCCCTCCTCCCCCTCCCCTCCCTTCACAATTACTCAATATGAGTACTCTCCCTCTTCCCCTGATGACGGTCTGAAAGTGCTCGACCCCCCCCCCCGCGTATTGTTTTTTTACGCAGGTTTCCCCGGAGTTGGATTTTCGCCTGCACTTAAAAAAAAATGCTGCTCTCGCTGACGCGCCGGCCTCATTTTCGGGCCCGCTCGTTCCGAATCGTGCTCCCGCTGCAGCGCTGGCCTAATTTCTGTGCTTCCGCTCGTTCCGAATCGTGCTCCCGCTGCAGCGCTGGCCTCATTTCCGCGCTTCCGCTCGTTTCGACTCGTGCTCCCGCTGCAGCGCTGGCGTCATTTCCAGTGCCATGCCACGGCATGCAATGCAATGCTAGGTTGATACTACGCTTTGCGGTGCTCTTCTACGCCATGGCATGCCGTGCTCTACAATGCATCGCGTACCTTTTCGGGATCATTGCCCTGCTCGACATCCAACTGTGCGAGTAGAGAGGGGATCTACGCCATGGTAAGGCAAGGGATGGGAGGGAGGGATAGGATGTCAGGTATGACGCGGGCGCACCTAGCTTGCCCCATCCCCCTCCCTCCGCCCCTCTCCTACCCCCCGCCCTCCCTCCCCCCTCATCCCCCGAAGGCCCCGGCGGAACCGCCGAGAGCGGCCGGCGCGGCCGCCGCGAGCCCGCAGGACGGGCGGAGCGGCGACCGCTCGCCCGACGGCGGCTGGGGGCAGCACCGGCCGGCGGCCTTGGAGAGGGGGGGGGGGGGGGTTTGGGGGGGAGGGGGGCGGGGGGGGGTGGGGGAGGGTGGAGGGGGGGGGTGGTCTGGGGGGGAGTGGTCTGGGGGGGTGTGAGGGGGGGGGTGGTGGTCTGGGGGGGGGTGGTCGGGGGGTGGAGGGGGGGGTCTGGGGGGGGTCTGGGGGGTGTGTGGGGGGGGAGGGGGGGGGCGGCCTTCTCGGGGACAGCGGCACGGGCCGGGGGCAGCGTCCGGGGGGTGGGGCTCTAGGCTCGGGGGGGGGGGGGGCTGCAACCGCACCCCCCTCCCCTCTCCCCTCCCCTCCTCCCCCTCCTCCTCCCCCCTCGGCACCCCTCTCGTGCTCTCGTGCTCGGCGATGCGTCTACGGGGAGATGCTCCCTCGCAGGTGTGGCCCGCGTGGCGCCAGGCCCGGCGGGGCGCCCCGTGGTCGCCCCCCCCCCCCCCCCCGCCGCCTGCCCTCCCGACTCGGCGGCGCCTCTCGGGGTGCTTCTGTTCGGGGGGGGGGGGGGGGCGGCTTCGGCACCGCCTGTGTCCGAGGCTGTGCCTCCTCTCGGCCTCGCTCTGAGGCTCCGCCGCTTCCGCCCTCCTCCTCTCTGCCCAAGTCAAGCTTCGCGCGGCCCGCTCGGCGTTCGATCGGAAGAGGTGCGCTCTCGACCCGCGGATCAAAGAAAGTGTTCGGGGGGGGGAGCGCCCTTCCTCAGGGGCCGCGCTAGGGGGTGGCAGGCTCAGGCTCAGGGGAACATATCCTTATCCCTGTGCTGGGCATCTCCTCATCACGATGCCAATCTCAGGGATTCCCTTATTTCTGGAGGGCGAATCCCTAAGATTCTCATCGCCTTTTGGCGTGTCAATCTTAGGGATAGGGATCAGTTCGAGGCTGGTAACAGCATGGGGAAAGTGGGGAGCTACGAGATTTGGGGATGCATCGCCCCCGATCGCCCACTGATCGCCGAGAGGGGCATCACAGCCCACCCCGCCCAGGACCGTGGGATGTCGCGCTTCTCGGTGGCCGATCCATCCGCGACGCATCGCCGATGTCGGCTCCGTGTGCCTCCCGCCCCCCTGAGCTGATCCCTCCCGATCGTCCCCCCTCGCCTCCCCCTTCCCTCAGATCGGGGGCGACCGTTCTAGCATCGGTTGGGATTATTTCTGAAGAAAGTTTACCAATTGTCCACTGTTCCTCCAGAATCCGCCTGTAGGGGGACATGCCCGACCTGAGGGTACGGGCCCTGAAGAACCCGTAAGGACCGCAAGACCTTTACCTCGCAAAGCTGCGCGTGCCCTGGGGCACGCCGCTGCGTGGCGAAAGCACGGTGGCTAATCAGAGTTGGAGTCAGCCTGTAATATCGGGGGTGGACAGAACCCCCAACAGCGACACGTCGATGAGTGAATTGTCCGTTTTCGGTGCTCGAGGGGGCGCCGTGGCCGTGATTTTCCAGGCCTGCGCCCGCCAGGTTTGGGTTCCGAGGTCGTCTTCACTAAACCACGTTTTACTAAAGGGAGGTCTGTCCATCCCCGATCAGACCGCGGCACACCGACGGTCCTGCCAGCCCGAGCCCCCCTAATTAACCCGAGTCTTACGTTCCCCCGAAAGCACTGCCGCCGCTGGCTTGGAGCTTCCAGCCCCACGCGTGCGGCCCCTCAACAATGCATGGAGGGGTCCCAGGCGGCGCTGCGGAGCCTGACTCGGGCCGGACGAGGGGGTAGGTTCGGGTGCGAGTCTTGGGAGGTCGAGTTCTGATTCTGCCCTGGTCCGAAAGCCGACTTGAGCCGCTTTTATCCCGCACAATCCAGCTTCATTCAGCTATAATCCGGTTTGATCCGGCCGACTCCCGCTTGATCCGAGGCCCACTCCGGCGCAAAAGCCCCCCTACGGGGGCCCAGTCTTTCTTAGTCCTTCCGACGCAGACCCCCCAGTAGTCGCCTCCTGGGGTAGGACCGGGAAAGTTTACCTGTTTGAAACATATCCCTATCCCTATGTTTGACATCACAGCACACCTCGATGCCGATCTTGAGGATTCCCTCAGGTTTTGATGGTTTTTCCATAAGATTGTCCTCGCTTTTTGCTCGCCCATCTTAGGGATAGGGATACGTTCGAGGCTGGTGAAAGGTGGGGAGGCACGAGATCTGGGGGCCGACGGCACGGAGGCGAGGCACGGCGCGTCGGTGTTTGGGATATCTCGCCCCTTGACCCGGAATCGGTGTCTGACGGCCCCGGGGCCCGAGCACGCGGCCTCCCCCTGGGGGGGGTCGGGGGCGGAAAAGAGGAGGGTGATGACTGGGGGGGGGGGATCTCATGGCGGGGGCCATGAGAGTTCCCCAGACTTCATGGCGCCCCTTCTTGCTTCATGACGTCCCTGGCCCCCCCGCTGGGCCGCGCACATGCCGCCCTGCCACGATTTGCACCCCCCCCCCTCTTGGCCGCTCCCGACGGGGGGGGGGGCGAGCCAGGAGGCTTCGGGAGAGAGGCGCCGGCATTGCAGAGCCTCGGCAGCGCGAGGGTTAGAGCGGGCGTGTCCCTCTACGGGATCGGAGGCTGATAGACCTCCCACCCTGACACGTCGATTCGTGAATTGGCCGTCTTCGGTTCGCGAGAGTGCGTCGTGGCCGTGACTTTGCGGGTCCAGGTCCGTCGGTTTACTAAAGGGAGGTCTGTCCACCGCCGACAGGAGAAGCATTCGAGGATAATTAAAACATCGTCTGGTGACGTTACGAGACAATGTTATGTTTGATTACGTTTTGACTACTTATTCTTTCTCCCTCGAAGATCCGCCTGTAGGAGGACATGCCCGACCTAATGCTAGGGGGCAGAGGCTCAGAGGGGGACGCATCGACCCCCAATCGCCCATTCATCACCGATAGGGGCCCGATAGCCCACCCCGCCGAAGAACGCGTAGATTCACTGTCGGTGGCCTATCGCCGATCTATCGGCGATGCACTGCCGATTCCAGGTCGATCTCCCCCCCCCCCCCGGAGCTGGCCCCCCCCCTGGCGCTGCCCCTCCGATACAGTCCGCTCGAAGCGCGGGGCCGAAAGTAGCACAAGCGTTAAGTCGGGCACGTCCCTCTGCAGGAGGAATGTTCAAACATAGTCAACACATCGTCTGGGGACGATGTTTTGACCATGTGTTTGCTATCTCTGAGTGTTGTTTGTTTATTGTTTTCGTCCCAAATCCCCCCTGTAGGAGGGCATGCCCGACCTAACACAAGCGTCGGAGAGGTCCAGCCGGGTAGCCCGGCGCAGAGGCCGTGCACGCAGAGGCGGTCTTGAGGGCGTGCGCGAGCGCGCGCTCCCACCTCTAGAACGCCGGGTCCCGCCAGCGTCACCTCCTCCTCCTCTTCTCCTCCTCCTCCTCCCTCCTCCCTCCCCCCTCCTCCCTCCTCCCTCCTCCCTCCTCCCTCCTCCCTCCTCCCTCCCCCCTCCTCCCTCGCCCCTCCTCCCTCCTCCCTCCTCCTCTGGCACAGGCAGCGATGTCGCCACACGTGTCTCGGCTTCCCCTGTTCGGGCATCCTGGGAGGCCCTGGCCGCCGCGGCCGGAGTCGCCTCGCGGTCCTGGTCAGATCGCACCCCGAGAGGGGTCTGGGGAGAAGCGGCACCAGTACCCATCGGTCGTTGAAAGTGGATGTTTTTGGATTCCCAGATTCCAATCTACTTTCGGCGCCTTCCTACTTCAAGAGTCGAGTGGTTTTCCTTCTTCCTTCCTCTTCAGGAGGCGTGCGGAAACCCAATCTATTTCCAACGCCTTCCTACTTCATGTTTCTACCTACTTCTTCCGACCGATGGGTATCTTTTCGTCCCTTCAGGATGGTCAGGTCCAGGGGCAACGATAGGGGGGGGGATAAGCAGCATAGGGGGGTACGCATCGACCCCCAATCGCCCATGGATCGCCGACAGGGGGCCGACAGCCCCCACCTGCCCCAGGAAGGTGCGGATTCACGATCAGGGGCACCTCGCCGATCTCTCGGCGCTGCATCGCTGCTTCCAAGTCGATGCATGCCCCCCCCTATGCCCCCCCCTATCGTTGCCCCTCACGGGTGTTGCTAGTACAGTCGGGGCCCTGAAGAAGGAACCCTTTTCGTTGGGAAGGGGCTCCGCGCTCCTTACGTGTTTCACAGCTTGCCTCAGGCTTTCCTTATGTTTTCGACAGGGGTATGCCAGATATGGCGCAACGACGCCCAGTTGGCCTCTCCCCCTCTCCTCAGTCCTCGTCTCTCCTCTGATTCCTGATTCCTGATTCCTGTCGGCACTTGTGCTCTCCGAAAAAAAAGGAATGGAAGGTTGACTAATGGAAGAAAGGGGCCTCGTTCCTTGTTTTGGGTTCCTTAGGTCAGCGCCCCGACTGTCGTGCCCCCGGACCGAGGTGCCCCCCCTGGATGCTCGGGGGAGCGTGCGCGGCCTCCACAGAGCACCCTCCCGTCATCAGGCCCCCGAGGGCCCCATAGGGGCTCCAAAAAAGGGATCGAAACGCTGGGGGCACCTCGGGCCAGGAGCGCTTCTAGCATCAGATCGGGCATGTCCCTCTGCAGTCGGGGCTGGACAGACCTCCTACGCTGACGCGTCGATTGAGGAGTTGGCCGTTTTCGGTTCGCGGGGGGGGCGTCGCGGCCGTCATGTTTGCGGGTCCAGGTCCGTCGATTTCGGTCCCAGGCCGTTTTCACTAAGGGGAGGTCTACTAAAGGGAGGTTTGTCCAGCGCCGATCCAAGAGGGATCGAAACGCTGGGGGCACCTCGGGCCAGCAGCACTTCCAGCATCAAATCGGGCAGGTCCCTCTGCAGGAGGAAACTCCAAAAACGGTCCAAAAATAGTCCGGGGACGATTTTTGGCTTGTGATTTGTTTCGATTATTCTTTGATTTTCCTACATAATCCGCCTGTAGGGGGACATGCTCGACCGAAGCTTCGAGGCCTCCTGCGGGGGTCCGGCCTCCTGGTCCTGCGGGGGGCGCCGTGTCTGGCCGGACGCGGGGGCCTCCAGACGGAGCTGCGGGGGCTCGGTGCGCAGTGGACGCGCGTCCTCTCCCCAGGGGGAGGCCCGGGGGAGGCCCAGGGGGAGGGCGGCGAAGAGGGGGATGATGACTGGGGGTGGGGTGGATACCATGGCGCGGGCCATGATCCTTCCCCAGATTTCATGACCCCTCCCCTTATTCCCTTACGTCCAGGAGGCCCCCCCTCCTGGGTCGCGCACGTGCTGTCGGCCATGATTTGCTCCCTCCCCTCTTGGACGCCCCCCTCTCGGACGCCCCCGGGGAGGCCCAGGAGAGGACTGCGCCTCTCCCCCGGGATGGGGGAGGCCCAGACGTGCTCGGGTCGGGGAAGAAGATATGAGCAACGACGGGAGGTCTGTGGCAGTACTTTCGGCCACCGGGGGCCCTCGCTGGGCTTCGGGACTGTCGAACAAGGGCTCGGGATGAAGAGCCGGCCCTGCGGAAATGATGGGCGTTTTGTTTTCCACCACCACTACCATAGGCAGGACGGGGGAGTAGAGGATAGGGAGGGCCTCCTCCTCCTCCTCCTCCTCCTCCTCCTCCTCCTCTTTCTCCTCCTCTTTCTCCCTCCTCCCCCTCCTCCTCCTCCTCCTCCTCCTCCTCCTCCTCCTCCTTCTCCTCCTCCTCCTCCTCCTCCTCCTCCTCCTCCTACCTATGGTAGTGGGGGTAGAGGATAGGAGGGCTCCTCCTCCTCCTCCTCCTCCTCCTCCTCCTCCTCTCCTCTTTCTCCTCCTCTTTCCTCCTCCTCCCCTCCTCCTCCTCCTCCTCCTCCTCCTCCTCCTCCTCCTCCTCCTTCTCCTCCTCCTCCTCCTACCTATGGTAGTGGTGGTGGAAATCGGCCCGTCAGGAAAGGGTCGAGACTCCCGGGGAAGGCGCATGGAGAAGAAATATAAGGTACCGCATGTTTTCAAGGCAGACGTCCCGCGGCCCTGCTTTTTTCCTCCCTATCCTGCCTTCCCCGTCCCATGTGCCTCATTGGCTGCCGTCGCACCCTGCCGAAGGCCGGCCGCTTGCTGGATGCAGCTCGCCACTGGCCAAAGCGTCTGGGGGCAGACCATGACCGTGAGGCCGACGTGCCAGGGCCAAGGGATCGGGGGTCTTGAAGGGGGGGAGGGCGCCTCGAGATCCGCTTCCTCGAGAGCGCCTCAAGAGCAGCCTGCTCCTCGATCCAGTTTCCCTGCCCCCCTCTGCTCCCCCCCCGTGTTTCGTCTCCTCTCTCTTCACCCGCCACCTCCTCATCAACGGGTTCAACATCCTCTTCTTCCTCGCGCTCATCTCAGTTTTCGCGTCATAGTCGTCTCCATCCCCATCTCCATGCCCGCATTTGTCCTCGTTCTCTTCCCCATCTCTGTCCGCACCCTCATTCCGCATTCGCCCTTACTCATTCAGCCCCCTGCCCCTCCGCAGGAGCCCGAATGGGACAGGCACTGGTCGGAGGCTCATGCTAGATATTATTATGTGAGCAAGGTTACGCCCCTCGCTCCTCGCCCGTTCTGCGTGAGCCTCTCGCGCATGCGAGGGATGGAGAGAGTGATTGGACGGACGCGAGGTGCGAAGGAGTGTACTGACGGGGCGAAACCATGCGGGGGGGGGGGATAGTGGAGAGGGGGAGAGCTTGGCATCGCTCGGACGTGTGCATTTTTCCTTCCACGTCCGAGCGACGGCAAGAGAGGGATCTGATGGAGGCAGGGGGGTCGGGGGAAGGGATGCGGGAGGCGGCGGCGTGGACGGGGCGGAAGGGAGTGGAGGGGGGACGGAGGTCAAGGAGGTGGGTGGTAAGGGCGAGAACGGGCGTTTGCAGTGCACATCCGGATACATCCCTCCTCTGGCGCGCGTGGAGTAATGAGGTGTCCATGTTGTCCTCGCCATTCCTTTCCGCTCCTGTGTACAGCTCCTCCATTCTGCCTTCACTCCTCCCCTCCCTCACAGATTCTCTTCGTCTTGCACCCCTCCCTGCCTCCCTCGTCTGTCATCCTCCCCTCTTTCCTCATGCTCCCTCTCCTCTCGGCCTATTCATCCTCTTCCCCGTCCCTCCTCCTTCCATCTTTCCTCCCCCGTTTACCTCTTCCTCTCCCACTCCTTTCCTTTTCCTTCCCGCCCGTCCATAATTTCTCCTCTCTCCACCTCCTCCATTCCATCCTCCTCCGACTCTTGGGTTCTCCCTCGCCCCCCGCCTTGGCGACCCCCCTGGGATTGCGACTGCGGGAGGGACAGAACGAGAGAGAGAGAGAGAGCTCCCTATATATTTTCTACATCTATTTTATGGCGATCTGGGGCCCGGTCCGCGGGGGCCGCGACCTCCACCGCAAATGTGAGTGTGTGTGTGTGTGTGTGTGTTTGTGTGTGTGTGTGTGTGCAGGGGCCCGGGCCCGCCTCTGGGAGGCCTGGAATCGCCCCGGGGAGACCTCAGACAGCAATCCCAGCGGCCCCAGACGGTCTCGAGACACCCCCAAGACGCCCTCCAGGGGTCTCTGGCGACGCACGATGCGTTTTACACTGCCCCGGAGGCCCCCAAGACGCCCCAAGAGGCCTTTAAGATGTCGCCCAAGACCGCCCCGAGAGGGCAAAATCGCTGATTTTCATTATGTTTTCAATGTTTTTTTGCGTTCTCTGTTTCGTGTTTCTGGCGCTAAAGCACCGCCCAAGAGGCTCCCGAGACCGCTCCAAGACGGCTCAAGAGGCCCCCAAGAGGGCCCCAAGACGGCCCAAGAGAGCCCCGAGACGTCCCCAGAGCCGTCCAAGACGGCGCAAGAGGGCCCCAAGAAGGCCTCAAGAGGGGCCCAATAGAGGGAACGCGAACTGAAAAATCAAGCTCTTCGCCCCAAGATGCCCCCAAGAGGCCCCAAGAGGCCCCCAGGAAGCCTCCGAGAGGCCCCATGAGGCCTCCAAGATGCCCCAAGAGGCCCCCAAGAAGCCCAAAAGAGGTTCCAAGAGGCCCCAAGGCGGTACCCAAACGGTTTCAAAACTCTTTCTAAGAGGCCCCCGAAGACATGCCAAGGAGGTCCCATGACGACTTCAGGAAGCAGTCCAGGATGCTCCGAGGAGGCCCCAAGAGGCCCCCAAGAGAGCCCAAGAGGCCCCCAAGAGGCCCCAAGCTGCCCCAAGCAGCATCCAGGAGGCCGGAAAGAGGCCCCCAAGAGCCCAGCAGTCCAGGCGGGGGCCGAACGGACATTTCCAGCCCTGGGCTCCCGGAAGCCCAACAGGAAGCCCCACGTAACTCGCAAGACCCCCCCACCCTCCCGACGCTGCCGAGACGCCCAAAAGGTTTCCCAATATGCAAAAAACTGCGATGCCCCAGGGGTGCGTTTGGACAAGAATTTCGAGACGAAGCCAGCCTTGGCCACGAAGAGCGCCTGGGACGACAGACGACGACGCAGACGACGGCGACGAGGGTGGCGACGACAACAGACGACGGACGAAGGACGACGGACGAAGGACGCAATCGTGGCTAATTCGACCAGGTTGCCTGCCACTGCTGACCTCTCTTCTTCCCTCCGCTACGCGCTATCCTTCAAGCTAGCTAGAGCTTGAGCGCGCGCGAAGCGCGCGCGATGGTTCTAGTATGTGTATGTATACACATTATACACATATATGTATGTGTTTATACATGTTTTTTTACATATGTGCATATGTCTAATTATCGAAGGCGACTACGGCGAATCACCGCCGCCCCCTGCCGTTTGGAAGCGCCTAGAGGCCAAACGTTCGGGCCAGAGCTCGGCCAAGTTATCGGCTATGTGTTTCCCCAGCCGCTGTGGAACGCCTTTGGGGAACACAGGGGGGAGACAGAAGAAGGGGAGGAGAGAGAAGAAGCAGGAGGAGGAGAAACAGGAGGAGCAGGAGGAGGGGGAGAGGCCTCTTTGGAGCCTCTTTGGGTACTCTTTGGACTTCCTGGGAGTTCCTGGCGGCCTTTGGAGGCCTCTTGGGGGCCTTCTTGGGCATCTTGGGGGCCTTTGGGGGCTCCCTGGGACGCTCTTTGGCCGTTTCAGGGCGCTCCTGGCCGTTCTGACGCCGTCGCAAGCCATCTTGAGGGCCTCTCTGGGCCGTCGTGGGGCCCCTCTTGGGGCGCTTCGGGGCCGTCTTGGAGGCCATCCGGGGGCGGCTGGATGGTTCCTGGGCGGTCTTAGGGCCTCTGGGGCCGCCTGGGGGCCATCTCGGAGGCTGGGCGCTCTTGGGGCAATATTTTTAGCCTGTGGGGCCGTCTTGGCCGCTGGAAAGCCGAAAATGGGCAAACGCCAGCGTCTGCCAAATACCGCAGGAACATCAATGATTTTTGCCTCTTCGGGCCTTCCTGGCCTCTTGGAGGTCTCTTGGGCCGTCTCGGAGGCCTCTTGGACCGTCTTGGGCGGTCCTGAGGCCACCTTGGGGGCATCTCGGCCTGTTTGGGAGACATCTTGGGTGCATATCGTACCCTCTCGAGGCCATCGTGGCCGTCTTGGAGACCATCTTGCCGTCCTGGAGGCCATTTTGGGGCCGTCTGGAGTGGGAAGGCCGACGACGTGGGAAGTTTGCGGGCCCTGGCCGACGGGGGAGACCTTTTGTGCGCCCCTCCGGGCGGCCGGCGGGACCGGCCGACGGCCCATACAGTGGAGACCCGTGCCAAGAAACACCCTGCTTGCCTCCAGGGTGCCCTGGGCTTCTTGGGTTTCGATCGTTTTCTGCGGTGGAAAGCGTGCCGCTCCCACGCGAACAATCAACGGGACGCCCTGTGGTCTCAGGTTTGGGTGTCTTGCGGAAGGTTTCTCGTGGACTGGCCTCTACTGCAGGGGATCCTTCAAACTCCTCAACTTGTGGGGTCCCAAAACCCGGATAGCAGAGCGCCACAGGGCGTGGAAAGGTCTTTCGAAGAACTCTCGAAGGACCTGGAGAGAGCTTCCGAAGGACCTTCTGGAGAGCGTCTGGGCACGCGTGATGGGAAACGCTTAGAAAGGCCTTTCGGGACACGTTGAATGTTCGGACAAGCTTTCAAACTCTTCAAAATCTGGCACGCCGTGGAGACAATTTTCCTTTCTTCGGCGATAACGGCCGTTACCAGGTGGTGGTGGTGGTGGGGAGGGGTCCGGTAATGTCACGATTCGCGCCGACGGCGTCTGGAAATGTTCAGGACAAGTGTTATGCTGTCAGGGCTTGCTTACAGCGAGGTACAGCAATAGTAGACAAGCGCGCTGCTATTACTTTTGCTATCTACTTCTACTACTACTACGACTACTACTACTACTACTACTACTACTACTACTACTACTACTAGTACTACTACTACTACTACTACCACCACTGCGACGACTACTACTACTACTACTTCTTCCACGAATACTACTACGAATAATACTACTACTACTCCCACTACTACTACTACTACTACTATTACTACTACTACTACTACTACTACTACTTCTACTACTACTACTACTACTACTACTACTACTAACTACTAACTACTAACTGCTAACTGCTAACTGCTAACTGCTAGCTACTAACTACTAACTACTGACTACTAACTACTACTACTACTACTACTACTACTGCTACTACTGCTGCTACTGCTGCTACTGCTACTCTTACTACTACTACTACTACTACTACTACTAACTACCACTACTACTACTACTACTACTACTACTACTACTACGACTACTAGTACTACTACTACTACTACTACTTCGTACTACTACGACTACTACTACTACTCCTACTACTACGACTACTACTACTACTATTACTACTCCTACGACTACTACTACCACGAACTACGAACAACTAACTACTAACTACTAACTACTACCACTGCTACTACTACTACTACGACTACTACTACTACTATTACTGCTACTACTACTACTACTACTACTACTACTAGTACAACTACTACTACTACTACTACTACTCCTAACTACTAACTACGAACTACTAACTACTAACTACTAACTACTAACTACTAACTACTATCTACTAAATACTACTACTACTACTGCTGCTGCTACTGCTGCTACTACTACTACTACTACTACTACTACTACTACTACTACTACTACTACTACTACTACTACTACTACTACTACTACTACTACTACTACTACTACTACTACTACTACTACTACTACTACTACTACTACTACTACTACTACTACTACACTACTACTACTACTACTACTACTACTACTAACTACCAATACTACTACTACTACTACTACTACTACTACTACTACTACTACGACTACTACGTCTACTATTACTACTACTAGCACTACTACTACTTCTACTACTACTACTACTACTTCGTACTACTACTACTACTACGACTACTACTACCACGAACTACTAACCACTTACTACTAATTACTAAATACTAACTACTACCACTGCTACTACCACTACTACTACTACTACTATTACTACTACTATTACTACTACTGCTACTACTACTACTACTATTACTATTACTGCTACT